ACCCAGTAGGGAGACACTTGCCAGGGACTAGAAGGGCTGCATTAAGATTTTCACAGCACTGGGGCACTTGCGTGGCGCAGTGGGTTAAGCGTCTAACCCTTGATTTCCGCTCAGGTCTTGATCTCGCGGTTCATGAGTTTGAGCCCCATCCGCATCGGGCTTTGCACTGATAGTGCAGATCCTACTTGGGCTTCTGTCTCTCCCTCTCTCTCTCTCTGCCCCTCCCTCCCCTGCTCACGCTTTCTTTCTCTCTCTCTCTCAAAATAAATAAACTTAAAAAAAAAAAAAAAGACTTTCACAGCCCTAAGGCACTTTGGAGTCCCTCCCTCCATGAAAAAAATATTGCAAATGACCTTTTACAACTGCACTGGTATTGCATTCATTCTTTTCTTCTGAATTTAAGATAAGTTGAAAAGAACCATTTCCACGGGCCCTTAAAAGTGTCATGGGTCCTGGGTCTCCTGGGTCTGACGAGTAAGTTGGCTCTGGTGCCCAAGGGTCAAAAATAGAGGCGATTGGGCCGCGTTGGAGCTACACAGGCACAGTGGAGCCCAGAGGAGGGCTGGACCCAGGCTGTGGGTGGTCCTGGGAAGCCTCCAGGAGGAAGTAACGTCTAGGCCGAGTCCTGAGAGAGAGGAGGAATCAGCGTCAGGCAGGTGAAGGCACTGGAGAGGTATTCCAGGCACAGGGAACAGAGAGTGTGAAGGTGCAGAGCTAGAGGCTGGAGGGTAGAATGTGGTGGGGGCAGGGTGTCGGGGAAGAGAGACCAAGTCCGACAGTTCGGTCAGGGCCAGGCTGATAGGAGCCCTGAGGACATTAGGGAGCCACAGAAGGTTCTGAAGCATGGTCAGCAAGGGCGGGTGGGAGGGAGCATTGGAAAATGTCTTGGGCCACCTTATGGATAAAGGAAATCAGGAAGGGGAAAACAAGCTCACCTGCTTGAGGGAAGTCTTACAGAAAAGGTGGAAGTCATAGAAAGGAGGAAAGGGCAATACAGGAGGACATTCCAGGCACCGTGATGAATTACTCATTCAGGAAGTGTGTATTAAGCACCTCTTGTGTGCTTTGCTGAACAGTGGTGAAACAGAAAACGGCCGTCCGGATGAGGTGTACTCCAGGCAACAGGAATTCCTGTGCAAAGGTCCTGGGGCCGCACTGGACTGCTGTGTTGGAAGAAGGGTGAAGAGGCCCGCCCAAGTGGCCAGAGCACAGCAATCCAGGGCGGGGAGAGAGGGAGGGGACGAGGCCGGTAGGCTAGGGGAGG